ATAAATGAGGAATAGGAGAGAAATGGAATAAAAGAGAGGAATAAGAGAAAATAGGAATGAAAGAGGAAGAGGAGAGAAAGGGGAATAAATGAGGGATAGGAGAGAAAGGAGAATAAATGAGGAATAAGAGAGAAAGGGGAATAAATGAGAAATAGGAGAGAATTGGAATAAAAGAGAGGAATAGGAGAGAAAGGGGAATAAAGGAGGAATAGGAGAGAAATGGAATAAATGAGGAATAAGAGAAAATAGGAATGAATAAGGAATAGGAAAGAAAGGGGAATAAATGAGGAATAGGAAAGAAAGAAGAATAAATGAGGAATAAGAGAGAAAATAGGAATAAATGAGGAAGAGGAGAAAATAGGAATAAATGAGGAATAAGAGAAAAAAGGAATAAATGAGGAAGAGGAGAGAAAGGGGAATAAATGAGGAATAGGAGAGAAATGGAATAAATGAGGAATAAGAGAAAATAGGAATAAATGAGGAATAGGAGAAAATAGGAATAAAAGAGAGGAATGAGAGAGAAAGGGGAATAAGAGAGAGGAAAAGGAATAAAAATGAGAATAGGAATAATAGAGAATATGAAAAGGAATGAGAGAGAAATGGAAATGAATGAGAGAATTAGAAATAAAAGAGAGGAGTGAGAGAGAAAGGAATAAAAGACGAATGAGAGAGAAAGGAATAAAAGAGAGGAGAGAGAGAGAATTAGAAATAAAAGAGAGGAGTGAGAGAGAAAGGAATAAAAGACGAATGAGAGAGAAAGGAATAAAAGAGAGGAGAGAGAGAGAATTAGAAATAAAAGAGAGGAGTGAGAGAGAAAGGAATAAAAGACGAATGAGAGAGAAAGGGATAAAAGACGAATGAGAGAGAAAGGGATAAAAGACGAATGAGAGAGAAAGGAATAAAAGACGAATGAGAGAGAAAGGAATAAAAGACGAATGAGAGAGAAAGGGATAAAAGACGAATGAGAGAGAAAGGGATAAAAGACGAATGAGAGAGAAAGGAATAAAAGACGAATGAGAGAGAAAGGAATAAAAGACGAATGAGAGAGAAAGGGATAAAAGACGAATGAGAGAGAAAGGGATAAAAGACGAATGAGAGAGAAAGGGAATAAAAGACGAATGAGAGAGAAAGGAATAAAAGACGAATGAGAGAGAAAGGGATAAAAGACGAATGAGAGAGAAAGGGATAAAAGACGAATGAGAGAGAAAGGAATAAAAGACGAATGAGAGAGAAAGGATAAAAGACGAATGAGAGAGAAAGGGATAAAAGACGAATGAGAGAGAAAGGAATAAAAGACGAATGAGAGAGAAAGGGATAAAAGACGAATGAGAGAGAAAGGGATAAAAGACGAATGAGAGAGAAAGGGATAAAAGAGAGGAATAAAAGAGAATTAGAAATAAAAAAGGAATGAGAGAGAAAGGAATAAAAGACGAATGAGAGAGAAAGGGATAAAAGAGAGGAATAAAAGAGAATTAGAAATAAAAAAGTAATGAGAGAGAAAGCAATAAAAGAGAGGAGTGAGAGAGAAAGGAATAAAGGAGAGGAGTGAGAGAGAAAGGAATAAAGGAGAGGAGTGAGAGAGAAAGGAATAAAAGACGAATGAGAGAGAAAGGGATAAAAGACGAATGAGAGAGAAAGGAATAAAAGACGAATGAGAGAGAAAGGGATAAAAGACGAATGAGAGAGAAAGGGATAAAAGACGAATGAGAGAGAAAGGGATAAAAGACGAATGAGAGAGAAAGGAATAAAAGACGAATGAGAGAGAAAGGGATAAAAGACGAATGAGAGAGAAAGGATAAAAGACGAATGAGAGAGAAAGGGATAAAAGACGAATGAGAGAGAAAGGGATAAAAGACGAATGAGAGAGAAAGGAATAAAAGACGAATGAGAGAGAAAGGGATAAAAGACGAATGAGAGAGAAAGGGATAAAAGACGAATGAGAGAGAAAGGAATAAAAGACGAATGAGAGAGAAAGGGATAAAAGACGAATGAGAGAGAAAGGGATAAAAGACGAATGAGAGAGAAAGGAATAAAAGACGAATGAGAGAGAAAGGAATAAAAGACGAATGAGAGAGAAAGGGATAAAAGACGAATGAGAGAGAAAGGGATAAAAGAGAGGAGTGAGAGAGAAAGGGATAAAAGACGAATGAGAGAGAAAGGGATAAAAGACGAATGAGAGAGAAAGGGATAAAAGAAAGGAGTGAGAGAGAAAGGAATAAAAGACGAATGAGAGAGAAAGGGAATAAAAGACGAATGAGAGAGAAAGGGATAAAAGACGAATGAGAGAGAAAGGGATAAAAGAGAGGAGTGAGAGAGAAGGGATAAAAGACGAATGAGAGAGAAAGGGATAAAAGACGAATGAGAGAGAAAGGGATAAAAGACGAATGAGAGAGAAAGGGATAAAAGACGAATGAGAGAGAAAGGAATAAAAGACGAATGAGAGAGAAAGGGATAAAAGACGAATGAGAGAGAAAGGAATAAAAGAAAGGAGAGAGAGAGAAAGGAATAAAAGACGAATGAGAGAGAAAGGGATAAAAGACGAATGAGAGAGAAAGGAATAAAAGAAAGGAGAGAGAGAGAAAGGGATAAAAGACGAATGAGAGAGAAAGGAATAAAAGAGAGGAGTGAGAGAGAAAGGAATAAAAGACGAATGAGAGAGAAAGGAATAAAAGACGAATGAGAGAGAAAGGGATAAAAGACGAATGAGAGAGAAAGGAATAAAAGACGAATGAGAGAGAAAGGGATAAAAGACGAATGAGAGAGAAAGGAATAAAAGACGAATGAGAGAGAAAGGAATAAAAGACGAATGAGAGAGAAAGGAATAAAAGACGAATGAGAGAGAAAGGAATAAAAAAGGAATGAGAGAGAAAGGAATAAAAGACGAATGAGAGAGAAAGGGATAAAAGACGAATGAGAGAGAAAGGGATAAAAGACGAATGAGAGAGAAAGGGATAAAAGACGAATGAGAGAGAAAGGAATAAAAGAAGGAGTGAGAGAGAAAAGGAATAAACGAAGGAATGAGAGAGAAAGGAATAAAAGAAGAATGAGAGAGAAAGGAATAAAGACGAATGAGAGAGAAAGGGATAAAAGACGAATGAGAGAGAAAGGGATAAAAGACGAATGAGAGAGAAAGGGAATAAAAGACGAATGAGAGAGAAAGGGAATAAAAGACGAATGAGAGAGAAAGGAATAAAAGACGAATGAGAGAGAAAGGAATAAAAGACGAATGAGAGAGAAAGGAATAAAAGAGAGAAGAGAGAGAGAAAGGAATAAAAGACGAATGAGAGAGAAAGGGATAAAAGACGAATGAGAGAGAAAGGAATAAAAGACGAATGAGAGAGAAAGGAATAAAAGACGAATGAGAGAGAAAGGAATAAAAGAACGAAAGAGAGAGAAAGGGATAAAAGACGAATGAGAGAGAAAGGAATAAAAGACGAATGAGAGAGAAAGGATAAAAGACGAATGAGAGAGAAAGGAATAAAAGACGAATGAGAGAGAAAGGAATAGAAGAAAGGAGTGAGAGAGAAAGGAATAAAAGACGAATGAGAGAGAAAGGAATAAAAGACGAATGAGAGAGAAAGGAATAAAAGACGAATGAGAGAGAAAGGGATAAAAGACGAATGAGAGAGAAAGGAATAAAGACGAATGAGAGAGAAAGGGAATAAAAGAAAGGAAGGCTAAAGGATGAGAGAGAAAGGGATAAAAGACGAATGAGAGAGAAAGGGATAAAAGACGAATGAGAGAGAAAGGAATAAAAGAAAGGAGAGAGAGAGAAAGGAATAAAAGACGAATGAGAGAGAAAGGGATAAAAGACGAATGAGAGAGAAAGGGATAAAAGACGAATGAGAGAGAAAGGGATAAAAGACGAATGAGAGAGAAAGGGATAAAAGACGAATGAGAGAGAAAGGAATAAAAGAAAGGAGTGAGAGAGAAAGGGATAAAAGACGAATGAGAGAGAAAGGAATAAAAGACGAATGAGAGAGAAAGGAATAAAAGAAAGGAGTGAGAGAGAAAGGGATAAAAGAAAGGAGTGAGAGAGAAAGGGATAAAAGACGAATGAGAGAGAAAGGGATAAAAGACGAATGAGAGAGAAAGGAATAAAAGAGAGGAGTGAGAGAGAAAGGGATAAAAGAGGGGAGTGAGAGAGAAAGGGATAAAAGAGGGGAGTGAGAGAGAAAAAGGAATAAATGAGAGGAATGAGAGAATTAGAAATAAAAGACGAATGAGAGAGAAATGGGATGAGAGAAAAAAGAATGAATGAATAAGTAATATATATATTTTTTTGTTGTTGTTGTTTTTTTTGTTTTGTTTTTCTTTCTTTCTCTTTCGTTCGTTTTTGCGCTTTTTTTTTTTTTCTCTCTTTCTTTCTTTCTTTCCTTTCTTCTCTTTTTTCTGTTATCCTTTCTTTCTCTTTCTCTCTCTCTCTCTCTCTCTTTCTCTCTCTCTCTCTCTTCTTTTTTTTCTTTTTCTCTTTCTCTTTCTCCCTCCCTCCCTTTCTCTCTTTTCTCCCTCCCTTTCTCCATTTTCTCCCTCCCTCACCCTTTCTCCCTTTTTCTCCCTCCCTTTCTCCCTTTTCTAACTCCCTTTCTCCCTCTTCTCCCTCCCTTTCTCCCTTTTCTCCCTCCCTTTCTCCCTTTTCTAACTCCCTTTCTCCCTTTTCTAACTCCCTTTCTCCCTCTTCTCCCTCCCTTTCTCCCTTTTTCTAACTCCCTTTCTCCCTTTTTTAACTCCCTTTCTCTCTCCCTCCCTTTCTCCCTTTTCTAACTCCCTTTCTCCCTTTTCTCTCTCCCTTTTTTCCTCTTTTCTCCCTTTCTCCCTTTTCTCCCTCCCTTTCTCCCTTTTCTCCCTCCCTTCCTCCCTTTCTCCCTTTTCTAACTCCCTTTTCTCCCTTTTCTAACTCCCTCCCCTCACCCTTTTCTCCCTCCCTCACCCTTTTCTCCCTCCCTCACCCTTTCTCCCTCTTCTCCCTCCCTTTTCTCCCTCCCTTTCTCCCTTTTCTAACTCCCTCCCTCCCTCACCCTTTCTCCCTTCCTCCCTTTTCTAACTCCCTTTCTCCCTTTTCTAACTCCCTTTTCTCCCTCCCCTTCCTCCCTTTTCTCCCTCCCTTTCTCCCCTTTCTCCCTCCCTCACCCTTTCTCCCTTTTCTCCCTCCCTTTCTCCCTTTTCTCCCTCCCTCACCCTTTCTCTCTCCCTTCTCCCTCCCTTTCTCCCTCACCCTTTCTCTCTCCCTTCTCCCTCCCTTTCTCCCTCCCTCACTATCTCTCCCTTTTCCCTCTTTTCTCCCTTTCTCCCTTTTCTCCCTCCCTTTCTCCCTTTTCTAACTCCCTTCCTCCCTTTCTCCCTTTTCTCCCTCCCTTCCTCCCTTTTCCCCCTCCCTTTCTCCCTTTTCTCCCTCCCTTTCTCCCTTTTCTCCCTCCCTTTCTCCCTTTTCCCCCTCCCTTTCTCCCTTTTCCCCCTCCCTTTCTCCCTTTTCTCCCTCCCTTTCTCCCTTTTCTCCCTCCCTTTCTCCCTTTTCTCCCTCCCTTTCTCCCTTTTCTCCCTCCCTTTCTCCCTTTTCTCCCTCCCTTTCTCCCTTTTCTCCCTCCCTTTCTCCCTTTTCTCCCTCCCTTTTCTCCCTTTTCTCCCTTTTCTCCCTCCCTTTCTCCCTTTTCTCCCTCCCTTTCTCCCTTTTCTCCCTCCCTTTCTCCCTCCATTACCCTTTCTCTCTCCCTTCTCCCTCCCTTTCTCCCTCCCTCACCCTTTCTCCCTTTTCTCTCACCCTTCCTCCCTTTTCTCCCTCCCTTTCTCCCTTTTCTAACTCCCTTTCTCTCTCCCTTTCTCCCTTTTCTAACTCCCTTTCTCCCTTTTCTAACTCCCTCCCTCCCTCACCCTTTCTCCCTTTCTCCCTTTTCTAACTCCCTCCCTCCCTCACCCTTTCTCCCTTTCTCCCTTTTCTAACTCCCTTTCTCTCTCCCTCAGACGACCACACTCTTGTCATCTCCGCGGCCGAGGAAACTGATTCAGGATTCTACAGGTGCGTCGCCGAAAACGCCTTCGGGAAAGCAGACAGCTCCACGCCCGTCACGATTCGAGGTGAGGTGGATGAGGTGGATGGGGTGTTTGGGTGGATATGTGATGAGTTGGGTGGATTGATAGGTGGATGAGGTGGGTGGGTGAGGTGGATAGGTGGGTGTTTGGGTGGGTGGATGAGGTGAGGTGAGGGGGATAAGTGGATGAGGTGTTTGGGTGAGGTGGGTGGATGAGGTGAGGTGGGTGGGTGGATGAGGTGAGGGGGATAGGTGGATGAGGTGTTTGGGTGGGTGGATTGATGGGTGAGGTGAGGTGGATGAGGTGGGTGAGGTGAGGTGAGGTGGATGGGGTGGATGAGGTGAGGTGAGGGGGATAGGTGGATGAGGTGGATAGGTGAGGTGAGGTGGGTGAGGGGGATAGGTGGATGAGGTGGATAGGTGAGGTGAGGTGGATGAGGTGAGGTGGGTGGGTGGGTGGATTGATGGGTGAGGTGAGGTGGATGGGGTGGGTGGGTGGGTGGATGGGGTGGATGAGGTGGGTGAGGTGAGGTGGATGAGGTGTTTGGGTGGGTGGATGAGGTGGATTGATGGGTGAATGAGGTGGATGAGGTGGATTGATGGGTGAATGAGGCGGATGAGGTGGATTGATGGGTGAATGAGGTGGATGAGGTGGATTGATGGGTGAATGAGGCGGATGAGGTGGATTGATGGGTGAATGAGGTGGATGAGGTGGATTGATGGGTGAATGAGGTGGATGAGGTGGATTGATGGGTGAATGAGGTGGATGAGGTGGGTGGGTGTTTGGGTGGGTGGATGAGGTGGATGGATGGGTGAGTGGATTGATAGGATAGATAGGTGGATAGGTGGATGAGGTGGATGATACAGAAAATAGATAGATGGATAGATAAATAGATGGATAAAAAGATGAGTAAATAAATAGATAGATAAATAGATAAATAGATAAATAGATAAATAGATAAACAGATAGATAAATAGATAAATAGATAGATAAATAGATAAATAGGTTGATTGAATAATTTGTTTGTTTTATTTTATGATTTATTTTTTATAGTTTTCTTTTTTTCTTTCCTTATTTGATTATTAATATTATTATAACTATTAATTATTATTATTATTATTATTAATTATTGTTATCATTAATTATTGTTAATTATCATTATTATTAATTATCATTATTATTAATTATTATTATTATTATTATTATTATTATTAATTATTATCATAATTAATTATTAATTTAATTATTAATTGATTATCAAATATCAATTAATTATGAATAGTTATTTCAGTAACTATTAATTAAGAATTATAATAATAATGATAATATTGATTATTATTGTTATTAATTATTATTAGTAATTATTATTATTATTATTATTATTATTATTATCATTTTCATTATTATTATTATTATTATTATTATAAATTATTAATTATTAATTATCCTCATTTATTATAATTTATTATCATGAATTATTATTAATTATCATTGTTATTAATCATTATTATCATTATTAATTATTATCATTATTATCAATTATCATCATTATAATTAATCATTATTATAATTAATTATCATCATTATTATTAATCATTATTATAATTAATTATCGTCATTATTATTAATCATTATTATAATTAATTATCATCATTATTATTATCATTATTATCAATTATCATCATTATTATTATCATTATTATAATTAATTATCATCATTATTATTAATCATTATTATAATTAATTATCATCATTATTATTAATCATTATTATAATTAATTATCATCATTATTATAATTAATTATCATCATTATTATAATTAATTATCATCATTATTATTAATCATTATTATAATTAATTATCATCATTATCATTAATCATTATTATAATTAATTAAAACACCTAATTACTGCAAATTCTCAGGTATCTACGTGCACCCTGCCTGCACAGACAACCCGTTCTTTGCCAACTGCAAGCTGATCGTGCAAGCGAGATATTGCACCAATAAATACTACGCGAGGTTCTGTTGCAAATCGTGTACGCTGGCCGGGCAACTGCCTTCGTTCGGGGCGCATTTGCAATTCGTGAAGAAGAAGAAGTAGGAAGAAGGGAAAAAGGAAGGGAAGAGGAAGAGAAGAAGGAAGAAGGGAAGAGGAAGAGAAAAGGAAGGGAAGAGAAAGGGAAAAGGAAAAGAAGTAAGAAGGGGAAAAGGAAGAGAAGTAGGAAGGGAAAAGGAAGAGAAGAGAAAAGGAAGGGAAAAGGAAGAGAAGAAGGAAGAAGGGAAAAGGAAGAGAAAAGGAAGGGAAGAGAAAGGGAAAAGGAAAAGAAGTAAGAAGGGGAAAAGGAAGAGAAGTAGGAAGGGAAAAGGAAGAGAAGAGAAAGGGAAAAGGAAGAGAAAAGGAAAAGGAAAGAGAAAAGGAAGGGAAGAGGAAGAGAAGTAGGAAGGGAAGAGAAAAGGAAGAGAAAAGGAAGGGAAGAGAAAGAGAAGGGAAAAGGAAGAGAAAAGGAAGGGAAAAGGAAGGGAAGAGAAAAGGAAGGGAAAAGGAAGAGAAAGAGAAGAGAAAGGGAAAAGGAAGAGAAAAGGAAGGGAAGAGAAAGAGAAGAGAAAGGGAAAAGGAAGAGAAAAGGAAGGGAAGAGAAAGGGAAAAGGAAGAGAAAAGGAAGAGAAAAGGAAGGGAAGAGAAAGGGAAAAGGAAGAGAAAAGGAAGGGAAGAGAAAGAGAAGAGAAAGGGAAAAGGAAGGGAAGAGAAAGGGAAAAGGAAGAGAAAAGGAAGGGAAGAGAAAGGGAAAAGGAAGAGAAAAGGAAGGGAAGAGAGAATGAGAAGAGAAAAGGAAGGGAAAAGGAAGAGAAGAGAAAAGGAAGGGAAGAGAGAGAATGAGAAGAGAAGAGAAGAGAGAGAGAGGAGAGAATGAGAGAGAGAGACTGATTGATTGATTTACTCTCTTTCATGCTTCACATTTTCTCTATTTCGTTAATTCCTTTTCTTTCTTTTTCTTTCTCTTTTCTTTTTCACACTCTCTTTTCTTTCTCTCTCTCTCTTTCTCTCTTTTCTTTCTCTCTCTCTCTTTCTCTCTTTTCTTTCTCTCTCTCTTTCTCTCTTTTCTTTCTCTCTCTCTTTCTCTCTTTTCTTTCTCTCTCTCTCTTTCTCTCTTTTCTTTCTCTCTCTCTTTCTCTCTTTTCTTTCTCTCTCTTTTCTTTCTTTCTCCCCCTCTCTCTCTCTTTTCTCTCTCTCTCTCTCTCTCTCTCTCTCTCTCTCTCTCTCTCTCTCTCTCTCTCTCTCTCTCTCTTTCTTTCTCTCTTTTCTCTCTCTATCTCTCTCCCTCCCTTCGTAATATTTTTATTTTTTTTTACTTTTGACTAAACTTAAGAACCATTTTTTAGACGAATTTCTCAATATTTTTTGGAAATGAAATAAAAAAAAGACATATCCCCCCCCCCCCAAGCCAGCGTCGAGATGGGGGGGGGGGAATCGCATTTTTGCCCCCCCCCCCTTAATGTATATAGTGAAAATATACATCTATTTTTTTTCCCCTGTTTAGTTTTATAAGATTTTCTCATATATCATTTTTATATATGAGTCTTTTCCTTTCTCTCTTAGTTTTTAATATTATTTTTTTTAGTTAATTTTAGTGATAGATATATTTTCTTCTTTTTTTTTAAAGATAATGTTACAATAGTTTTTGAATATAAGACCGACAGACTACGAGTTTTTAGGCGATTTTTATTTATTTTTTTTGTTGTCGTTGTTAGGTTACAATTATAATTCTGTGTTTTGAAGCAATAAGTTAATTATAATTAATTAATACAGTTTGTCCAATGTTGACGATGAAAAGAAGAAATAAATGTTGATGACAATTTCACCCTTGGCAACACTAGGTTTCAGTTGCCAAGTATTGAAATTTTTAAAAAGAATAAATTTATACACGTTTATAAATTTGCTTTTTTATTTAATTCCAAGCGAAAGGACCTTCC